GCTTGAAGGGCTTTCGCAAGGATACCAGGCCAACAGGAACCGCAAGCCAAAGGATAACAAGTGGAGAATAATTATTCAAAACACAAGTTTCCATACCATCCTGGGGAATCCTTTAAGGTATTATGGGTGGCATTTACATTACCAATTAATAGTATTAAGCAGAAAATCACCAGTTCAAGAAATTTCCATTTATTGGGTAAGCAAGACATGTGCTTGATGAAAGGAGAAAATTACAAATTAACATTAAAATGGTATATCCTCCCTGCGCTTATATTATGTTCCGGATTATTGGGCTTGTACATTTCAGCATTACATCCCTTCTTCATCTATAATTCCGCATTTGTTCCTTGCACATTACCCCGCAATTTCCTTTTCCCGGTCTCCCCAGCGTATACTTAATATTTGAGCAGACAAGAAGGTTGCCGGCCATTATTTGTTCATTATTCAACTGTTATCAGCTGAATCTGATATATATTTTATATATATACATCCCCGGGCCTTTGCTGCTGCGGTCAAAGGTCGCATTCTGTGGGCACGTCTGCCCATTAGAGACAATAATTTTCTTTAAATTTGTCGATTAAATTGAGCGCAGCGAAGGCGAAATGATATCCTGATGGCAACCGCAAGTGAGCAATGTGTGTGTACTATACCATACCATACCATACCATGCCATACGATATAAACCCGAATGCGGGTTAATGGGAGCTTTTAAGGCCCGACTAATGAATTTAGCCCAAGCCCGTCGGAATTACGAGTTTTAAATTGCGTGACAGAAACGCTTTCAAAGGCAATTAGAAGGCGAGCGAGTGTGCAGGCTTTTTGCTTTTTCCAGCATACTTGGCCCCGAGTTAAAAGGCCATGACAGAAGTATTTAGCATACAGCTGGGCGTGAATCCTTGGACCAGGTCACATCCAACCAACTAAGCCCAACCAACCTACCAGCCAACTGATGATTTCCGGGAAACGGAAGCTGCATTATGGCGAATTAATGCGCCATTATTAGACAAATGCATGACAAGCGATTCAATTAGGGCGCCATAAACTGTCGTCGGCACCCAGAGCAGCCTACATCTATAGTCCATATATATATATACCATATAGACTCTTCTGGGGCCATCATTATGGTCATTTGCCGGATGACGAGGGACAATGCCGCCTGCCTGCGGATAATCAAGCGCTTTTAATGATTGCACATTCTGTTTTTGTCCAGGGGGAAATTGCATTTCTGCCATTGATTGCCAGCTTTAGTTTCCACCGCTTTTCGCCCTCTCGACAGCATCGACATCAGAAAACAATTTAATATTAAAATTTTCATAAATATTCAGACAGCGAGTTTCAGGACCTCGCTGTCGATTTCCATTTTTGGCACGTTTGCTGAGGATTTTATTTCGCGATTTCTGACCAACAAACAGGAGGTTAGAAACGCGACAGCTGCCCCATTTGATGGCCGTTTGTGATTCGGCCTATTAATTAACAATTCCATTATTGCAGATGTGCGAAAATTGGGCTTTAATTAAATTGCTCGTAATGCCGTAATTATTACAAACACACACACTTTTCCACCTAATTAATGGGTTTTTAGTTAAAAATACATTTTTGCTTGTAATAATGACTTGAGCAGCAGCATGTGCCTGGCATTTTCAATAAATTTAAGCACACACAGCTCATTAAATGCTTTACATGTGTTGGCTTTCCCCCAAAAAACACCCAGAGACCCCACAGCCCCATTGTGGAAAAGTCAAGAAGGAAAAGCGCTGGGAGTGAGGAGTTTTTGGAAGTCCTTAATTTATGCAAATGCCTATGCCAAAGTGGGGGACTCTGGGTGGGCGCCCGTGCACTTATGTAAGCCTCATCAATTTTCCATTGACACAAAGAAGAGTTCTATCACCCGAAGGCACTGGGAAATGGAAAATGGGAACTGCTGGAGTAGTCACAGCAATTGCAGATGTAAAGAGGGCATAAAGTTCGTTAGGGAGCTAGAAAAAAAAGAAACTCGACTTGTAGGTACTTTTCTTTCGTGGGGAAATTAATTCTTTACTTGGGCTATCTGGTTTGGAAATTACTTTTAAAGGTGTCTAGAAGTATGCAACAAAGATGACATTTTTTTCGAGGCATTATTTTAGACACCCTTAGAAGTGATTTGTAGTAAAATATATTCCATACACCTTCTTTAGGAACCTAAAAAAATAAAAATATAAGTCCTTCCTAGAATTATCTTGTTTTAAAATTACCTATAAAGATGTCCAAAAGTATTCAACATTTTATTTGGAATCCGAAAGATGGTGGTCTTTGTTTTACAGTCTACTTTTAGACACCTTTAAGGTTAGAGTTTAATTATTTACTTTAATTGGCCAGTTTAAAATATGTGCCTAAAAGTAACAACATTATATTTTAAAACCGAAGGATAGCGTTCTTCTATTTTTGTAGCGTACTTTCAGTCACCTTAAAAGTGATTTTAAAGTCGGAGAAGAACTTTAAATTAAATTTCAAACCTCAGTCTTTAAGAGAAATACACTCTACCTACAAAATACATGTACCTTTGCCAGCTCAGCAATTAGTCGACTTGGGAACCGCAAATGTAATCCTTGGAGTCTGGGTACATCCTCTCGACATATCCAGCAATCAGCATTAATCCCCAGCCAAAAGCATTAAGCGTAATTACAATTTGAACTTAAGTCCCGACTTTTGGATGCAATGAGCTAGATAAGTCCCCCATCCACATAGGATTAAACATGATTTTTGAAACGAGAAGAGAAAGTCTCGCTTACTCGGAGTGTGAAATTGGGGCTTTATAGATCCATCAATATGCCGAATCCATGCCAACGACTTAACCCGCCGGCCGGAGACTGGGAAATGATTAATGAAAAAGATATGGGGAGATAAGGAAAAGCTGCAAAGGCGATAAGGAGTGGTTGGGGAGCCATATCTTTATAGAGAGAGCGAGGTAAAGCTCTGCCGTGTGCTATCTTATCAGCAATTCAAATGCCTCGGGGCTTTTGGTTCTCTTGGCACTTTTTGTTTACCACATCGCCGTTGCCCAAATGGATTTCAATGACTAACCCGACCGGTGCAAGACCAAAGTATTTTGCTGATAAATTTATTGGAAAAATCGACTCAGAATGTGTGTGTGTGGAAGCTTTTCCGCCATTCGATAAGATAGGGAACTCGGCAATCCATTCAGTGCACTGAGAACCTTTACCATGGCGAGTTTGAAAGTTATGAGAGCTCTGACCTTTGCCCTGCTGCTCCTGCTGGCTATCCACTTTAATCAGGCAGAGATTATCGATGGGGAGGAGGAGACGGACCGCTTTTGTTATCCGGAGAGCTCCAAGAACTCTCGGCGCTCCTGCGAGTGCAGCAATGTGAGTGCTTCACCCTGGGGAATGCGTGCCCTGCGCATCGATTGCAGCTACAAGGACTACAAAGTCAAGGATCTCTCCCTGGTGCTACCCCTGTATATCGACTCCCTGGACCTCTCCTGGAACGGCCTGGACTCGGTGCCGATCTTTGCCAGCGACAGTCTGCATCAGTTGAATCTGAGACATAATAACATATCGAAGGTGATAGCTGGCAACTTTAAGCAGTTGACCAGTTTAAAGGAGCTCTACCTGGGCTGGAACAGCATTGCCCAACTGGAGGCTAACTCCTTCGAGGGATTACCCCATCTCCAGGTGCTCGACTTGGCCCACAACAATCTGCACTCCCTGCCCAGTCAGCTGTTTGCCCCTCTCCTCGTTCTGGGCAGTCTGGATATCTCCTGGAATCGCCGTTTCAACGAATCTGGTGGAGATCTGTATACCGGACTAGGTGTCAATTGGAAACTAGCCACTTTAAGGTTGGATGCCTGCAGCTTGACTGAGCTGCACCTGCCCGTGAGTGCTCCTCTAAAGGAACTTTCTCTGAGGAGGAATCAGCTGAAGCGGATTCCCAGTCAACTGCCGGAATCCCTGCTCCGCCTGGACATTAGCGACAATCTGCTGGAGGAGCTGCTCCCCCAGGACACGGCCAATCTTACCCAGGTGCGCCAGCTGTTCGTCGAGGATATGTCCCTGCTGCAGAGTGTGGTGGCCCAAGCCCTGGACTCCGTGGATCTTCTCGAGACACTGAGCTTCCAGAATAGCCGGCAACTGACTCACTTCGATGCCCAGGCCTTTGGAGTCATCTCCCCAGTCTCCATTAAAAAGAAAGCCCTGCGATCCTTGAGCTTTCGTGGCACTATGCTGCGCTCCTTTAATTCCACGCTGGCGCCGCTTTTTAACCAGCTTACCGAACTGGATCTCAATGGTCTCCCGCTGCAGTGTGACTGCGAGCTGGTGTGGCTGAAGCAGCTGCCCTACCAGACCAACGGAAGGTGCTACAAGCCAAACAGGATCCGCGGCATGCTGGTCACATCCGCCCGAGGAGACGCCTTCAGCTGCGACACCTGGCCGAGATGGGCCTACGGTCTGGTGGTGCTCTCCCTCATCGCTCTCAGCGCCGTGGGCATCTACCTGATAGTCATGGGACTGAGGCCACATCGAGGGGTCACCATGCGCCGCAAGGTGGGCGCCGGTTCTCCCTATGCCCGCGTCACCATCGAGCCCAATCGCCAGGAGAACCCCCACTAGAAGTCACTTAGAAAAAACTACCACCTAAGTTGTTGTATCTAACATAATTAATCCAAAGCTTTACAGCCCATTAGTAGACAATACAAAAACACACAACACTAAAACGAAAGTCCATTAATATTCAGCATATGTATTTTAAATAAATAAATATACCGCGTGAGCTGTTGAAGCTAAAAACATCAATCTAAAGTTGAACAACCAATTAGTAGAACAAAAACGGAACCACTTTTAGAGGTACCATAACCGAAAATCCGATTTAAATAGGTACAATTATAATCCTCAAACTTTTTGTGGTTTGAATGGGTCGAGTCATGGAACCCAAAATGTAGAAAAGTTGCAAAGCATTTTTTGTAGTTAAAAAAAAAGGTTAGGTATTAACTTTTAATATAATAGAAATTACAATGGTAATGTATATAAATGAAAATACAAGAGGGAATATGATTAAAGGTAAGAACTTCCCTCAGCTCCTTATTTATATTTTAAACAGGTCCCATATGGATGTTGGGATGAAAGGCCAGGCCACGAACTGCTTTCGATGCCTTGGGTCCGCTGTACTTGATCCTGAACCTTATGGGTTGCTTATGGTGGAACCTATCAACGGCGTTCACATCGTAGTGCTCCTGGAGGGCACAGAGATTGGGGTAGCGGGGATTGCGTCCCGACCGACATCCCGAGGCCGGAAGAGAACCCACCTCGTAGGCCGGTTCCACATCCACATTCTCGCGAGCAAAGTTGCAGACGATGAACTGTTGGTGCCACCGCTTGTGGCTTCGTTGGCGGAGGACTCCGCATCCCAGGTGGGTGGCCCTCTCCTGGATCAGCTGCCGGAAACTAGTGATGTCACTGGCTGGATCCGCTACGCCCAGCTCCTTGGTGGCCCGCTTATACTGGCCAAACCAGTTGGAGATCTTGTGGCCCAGCAGCTCCACATCGCTGTGCTTTCCCGCGCTGAAGATCACGTGGCCAGTCAGTTGACCCACGTGCTTGAATCGCCTGGTGTTGCGGCACTCGTCGCCGGAAAGGCTGCACCTCCTGGCCGCCATATCCGCCAGGTGGGCCAGCTCGGGATCCCAGCGCACACTGGACATTCGGTGGGCGGCTCCGAAGCCGGAGAATCCACCCGAGGCCACCTGGTTGCGGTAGAAGTTCACCTGGTTGACAATGAACGAGCGTTGCTGACTGCTCAGCGGTATTAACCTGGCCTCACTGCCGCACTCGGGTCCAAAAGTCTGGGGTAAAAATAGAGAGTTGAATACAGAAACAGGCATTCGTAGAGTCCTGAATATATCGTTTTAGGATCAATATATTTGTCATCAGTTAATATTTTAAATTTTTTAATTGTAAAAATTTCAAAATAAATAGAATTATAAGTTTTTATTAGAAATTTGTTTTAAAATTTAAAGAAGTTTTTCACGCTTTTCCTTATGCCGTACAAAATAAGAAAGTGGTGTCATCTTTTCATTGTTCTTAGACGTTAAATTTTTTTTAACCTTTAACACTTATGTAAAATCCTGGCTAAAATCATAAGTAAAAACAATTAAAGTATTTAACAATTTTAAATTGAGGCTGAGAGAAGGCGAGTATGTTTTCACTACTGCGTCGTAAACTTCTAACCCATATTGGATATTTTTCCGGTGATATCATTTATTTTAATACCTTAAACTGTGGCAATCAATTAACTTACCCCATTATTGTTGCAGGCTATATGATTGTTGGATTTTGGACACCAGTGCTCCTGGCAATAGTCCCAGGTGTTGGCGGGGAATGGCGCCAGGAAGAGGATCACCACGCAGACGAACCGCACTCTTTTAAGAAACATTGTTGACTATAAGATGGATCTTTAGACAGCTCGTCAATTCAATACCAGAAAATTACAATTTGCATGGAATAATTGGACCAAGAATGCGGCAGCAATCGAGAAATCCATACTGCGACAATGGGCATTGTGACAAACTAGTCTGGGGTGTGTTCAGCTATGACGTTATACATAACGCAAACAATTTGAGAGTCATGTTCCAGTTTTAATACAATTAATTGTCAATTTTATAACGAGTTAATCCGTGTATTACATACCACTTTTTTAGCATTTCATTTAAGCAAAACCATGTTTTATTTAGCTTATTTCTGTAAAAAAAAGGTTTTCCTTAAAATGGCTGAGAACTTTAAGAACGAATGGTTTGTAGAGCCGAAAACTTAAGCTAACAATCCACATACCTTTCTGGACAATTTTTAAAACATTTTTTGAACAATTTTAAGTTTCTTGGGGGGTTACGTCAATATATTTTATAAATAATTTTAGTAAATACAATTTCTAACTTTGATGCCAATAAGTTTGGCAATTTAATAGCGAGTTCAAAAAGGTATACAATTCCATATTGGGACTAACATTTACCAAAGAACACCTATCTGTAATAGAAAAATATATCATGCATAGTCATCTTAACATTCAACAACTTTTCCTGAGAAAATACTCATTAAAATTATTAATTTATTTCTCCCCTCCTTGTTAAGCCCAATTGAATTAAATTCTGTCAATGTGCCACTTTACGAAATGCTTCACTTGAGGGCTGATCAGAATTTATGTCCCTGGCCAACTGGCTTCACTCTATTGTGCGCGGCATTTATAATAATAATAATAAAGTATGTAATAGTCGCCGCCATAAATACTCGGACCAACAGCTTCACTTGCGAGGGTGGCGAGAGATTTACGAGCCCTACGAATGGAATTCGCATAAATAAATATTTTTTCTTCGCCTGGACATCAGTATGGTGCAAATTATTAATTTCGATATCTGACTGGCAATAATTGTGCACAAAATGGTCGAGGAGAAGAGCCAATTCTGTCTGCTTATGAATTAATTAATGGGGGATCCGAACATTTCGGGAATGTATTAAATTTACAAACATCCGATTCAGTTCCACATTGAATATGGATTAAAGATGAGCTGTAACTTGATGGAAATAAAGTTGAGAACGCCTTTAAAATATACTTGAAATATTATTTTTTTAGTTTCAATAATGTATAGAATTTAGACCATATATATGAATAATAAGAAAGTTATAGCCATGTAACTTATAGGCATACACAATCCTTTGCTGGCCTATTAATCGCTTAGGCTCCAGCTTTCTATGGCCAGTTGTGGGGCAATTATTGACAAGTAATTTGCATTTCATTACGACAATCTATCAATGGCTGGCGACGCCTGTGCATATTAATTGTGGGCCATTTTCACGCCGTCTGTGGGGCCAAAGGCAGTCCCAGGCCGTCAAAGGCAGCCAAAGGATGCGGTTCTCTCCCGGCGCCTGCGTCCTGGGTCCTTGTGCCAGTGGCCCAGTGCCACGAGTTGCATGCCACTCCGAAAGTCCGAGTCCGAAACCGAAAATGAATCCCCATCCGAGCCCAAATCGGAGCCACCAGCATCCGGAGACGCACCGTGCGCCAGTTGGAATTGGTGCGTCGAGGCGAGTGGACGCGCTGGCGGATGAGCGATATCGATGCGAACATTGCGTATACGTCGTGTGTGCGGTGCGAGCCATCGGCAGTTGTTGTGTGTGTGAAATGAGCTGAGGAGTACTGGTTAGCTCGAGAGGGCCGTTAATTGTGCGCTTGCCGTTCTGGCTTCTGGCCGTGCGAATTACCAACCGCTTTCAAGGGCCGCTCGTCAATAAATTATAATGTCCTAATGCCCAATACCTAAGGCCTAATGCCTAATACCAATTGACAGCGCAGGCCGCGTTGGCGGGCCATGAATAAAATATCAAAAGCATTTTGGGCCCCGAGGTCTGGCTGTTGTTATCATCAGCGAATGAGCAAAGGCAATATTCCCGTGTGTCGATGCTTAAGTTGATTTTATGTTTCGTATCTCGGCGAACTCACACGTCTTTTTCTCACCCCCCCCTGGAATTTATTAAATATTCAGCGTTTATATGGGACAACACAAAAGTCGTTGCTCTTGTTTTCGCCCTTTGCTCCCATTTGTTTCACTTCTTTTTTCTGGTCGGTTGATATCTCAAGCTGAGAAGCAAAACAATCCTAATGTACATTGACAGCATGGTCGAATCGCCACCCAACCAGATCCTCAGCCACATCCATATCCACATGTTCGCCCAGCGGGCTTAGCGAGTCATGTTTACTTAATGGATACGCCAGGCAACTATTAAGTGCTCCCCAAGCTCCTTCTGCGCTTCTTATTTACCATCTAAGCAGATATTAGATTTAATATGGCCATGTCAGTTAGCCACATTATCTGTCTGTGCATTAAAGCCCGTTTTCGGAGATTAAGAGCACCCTGCTCTAGAGTCATTATGCGTACTTATTATAACTCGCGGTAGTGACTGCCCCGAGTTAGACCCAGAAATTGAGATTTGGCTGTACCCGGGGGGAAGAAAGCACAACCTGCAGTGGGTTATCTCGAATGGATAATCTTCAGGGCATTACCCCTTCCCGCAGGACAACAAAGGAATTCCGCCGAAAAAACCCGACCTGGCCAGATTCCTTTGCTTTTCTTTTAATTTCAACGCGTATCTTCCTGCTGCAGGACACCAGGTAAAAACGGCAGGTGAGAGAAGTGAAAGCACAGCCCGAGGCCAAAGACAAGAACAAGAAAAGAATTAAGCCGCGTTGAAGAGCGAGTGAGAGTAACAGACACCGCCAGCGGGCGGTCCAAAAAGCCAACTTCATTTACGTCTGAAACGCAGTTGAAATAAACGACTTCACGACACTGGCGGATTTCCTAAAAAGTAAGTTAAGCCTATGCCACCACCTGTCAGTCTCATCCACCACCCACTGGCCACCACCCTTCACACCCTTTCAGCTTTCGGCATTCCACACCTGCCGGGTCAGCTCATTAAGGTTGGGTATCGGGGAGTGCTGAGAAAGTGGCAAAGAAAGTACTCGGGGAATAAAAACCATAAAATCACACTTTCCATTATGACAATTGATAGAAAACATTTTAAACACTTGTTAAAAATAATTTTTCTACATAAAATATATTACCGTTAAAATGGTGGCATCATCCATTTTGATATAATAAAAGAATATATAATATATATTAAACAAATTAAGAGAAGACACTTAAAATAATTTTACAGTTTTTAGCAGTAAATATTTATACTTAAATGGGATAAATTATTCTGTACTGAACAAGAAATATTTTAATCGCTTTCTGTTTTATTTATTTATTTGCTTTTAATTTTATATATTTAACACAATATAATTTAAAAGTGGTTCGCACGATAATTGATTAAATCAAGTAGATTTATACATTTAAATTGAACATAATTTAATACTTAGAAATTAACTACTGATTTTAAGCACGAAACAATTTCAAACTTTATGTGCCAGTAAAAATATTAAGTTGATGTGATAAAACACAAGTTTTTTATACCGAAAATTATTTTTTTCTCAGAGTTCGATTGTGTGTGGTTATAGGAAAAAATAGAATGAAGTCAAAGACGACTTGTTCTTTTTGCCAGTTGGCATTGTTATACCCGTTACACATAAATTAAAAGGTTATATTATATTCGTCGGAAAGTATATATATAAAGTATATATATTCTTGATCACTATCCGAGTCGATTTAACCAGGTCCGTCTTTCCGCTTGAACACTGTGATCTTAAAAAAAAATAAGAGCTAGAGAGTGGGGATTTCAGATTTAAATTTATTAGCTTCTCACCCAGCGCAAGTTTTTTATGAGAATGCGACACGCCCGCTCTAACGCTCTAACGCTAACAGTTTTGATGTTGGAATAAACATTTTAACTAAAATAAATGGCCTATATTCTCAGTGATATCTCGGGAAGAGGGCTCCACACTTGGCATATTTTCTGCATTCCATAAAATTTTCCCACCCACTTCCACTTAAGTGGCAGCTGCAGGCCGCAAAGAAAGTGGAAGTGAGGAAATAAAACTGGATAAAAGCGAGTTCATAAAGTCCAAGATACAAATACTCTCCGAAATAACTATTTGCTAATGAAATGGTATATAATTATCCTCATATACATACCTAATAAAGTGGTATAATCCAAAAATAATTTTATTTAACCATTTCCAAATAAATAAAACTTTATAAAGTAAAAAAATTAAATGCAATCAGCCTGACAAATGAAAAACCATTTTTTAGAGCATAGATCATTGTACATTTTGTAGTTAATGAATACCACGCAGCGGTCATCGTCTCTTTTGAGGTTGTAAACGCCCCAATCGAAAAATGTTTGTTTTTTGCCGGAATCCAAAGATACGTACTCGCCCCTTTTCTCAAGATCGTTGATGCCCAGAAAGTATACATAAGGATCTTTGAGCTTGCCCTTAATATCAGAAATCTCTTGTTCATTGTGAAAGGTCGCGAGATGACCGCCCATCTCACGACAGGCATTTTCAGCGTTAGTATAATTTAGCAGTTTTGATTCTTCGATGTAAAGCAACCTTGTGCCGATTTGCTCATACATTGAAAAATCTTTTTTTAACGTAATCTTTGATGGCTCTTCCTGAAGGTATATGCGTTGGTTTTCGGCGTTGTCTTGTACCGTCTGCTGTTTACTTTCAACAGCTAACAGAACTGTCTGCAATTTGTTTTCCAGTTTATCTAGTTTTTCACTTAAAGAGCTATGAAATTTGCTTTCCAACTGGCTTTCTATCTGGGCTTCTATTCTGTTCAGTCGTTCCAGAGTTTCGGTAAGTGTAACGCGAGTCTTGACATTGTGATCCATAATCGGTCTTAATGCTGCGAGGCAGAAGGACCCGCACTGATTTGGGGCATCTTCTAGCAAACACACTGATTGCGTACTATCCAGAAATCCGAAGAAAGCTATAGCACCATACAAAATAGATACTGACATCTTGTTCATACTGAGAAACCACAACCACTGAACACGATCCATGTTGATCCACTGTTTTTATATTCTGGTGGACGTTTTCTGATGTACCGCAGAATTTATTTGAAGAGATGTTATTCAAACGGTAATGACAGATTTAACCAGAAAATACATATTCATATATATCTGAAAAAATACAAAAAAATGAGCGTGGCAGAAAATATATATATAAACGAAATTTATTGCTTGTGGAAAGCGACAAATTTAAATGCTTTAGCATTATTTTTATTTTTAATGGATAAGGAAGAGCCTTTTGATTGCCAAAATATATTTTAGCCTAATTATACTCTTCCTAGTAAAGTAAAAGGGTATACTGTATTTGTTGGAAAGTATAAAAGGTAGAAGAAAGTATTTCTGACCCTAAATTATTAAATTTTTAAAGATTATGTAGAAGTGTTTTTTTATCAACATCAATGCCAATCATAATCGTAGAGTAGCCGCGCCCAGAAATTTGGCAACCACATTTTCAAAGATTAATATGTATAACAAATCTTATTTTGTTGCTCTTGCCAATACTTACCGGAACGCCAATATTGTTAGAGTCGGATCATTAGTTTATAAATAATGATCTTGCGCCCATTTCCAGCAAGAATATCATCACTGACGTCACAGTCAGTAGATAAAAGTAAAAAGTGTAAGATGCAAAAATGTAAAGTATATAAAGATCTAAGCATCTATGTTTCTCCGCCTCTTCTCGAAGGTGTATATATTTATTTTGCAATTGATTAGCCGAGTAATGGGTATCTGATAGTCGAGGCACTCTATTATAGAATTCTTTATTGTTTTTAGCTCGAAAGCGGATGTTCTACTGGCACTCGCATTCCGCTCATCTCAGCCAAGTTGCCGCATTCCAAGCCGTTTCCTTCCGCTTTCACCTTCTCCCCCTGGAAACTGGATATTTACAATTGTCGAGGGCAGCTAATTAAATTTCACAGCGTGGGCATAAATAAGCAGCCGCCATTCTTTTGGCCTACTATTTGTTTGGGTTGCATCCACGGTCGGAATCGAGTATCCAGAATCCAGGATACCCAGTCCGGATGCAACTGGCAGCACTGCATGTGGCATGTGGCATGTGGCAAGGGGATGGGCAAAGGGTTCCTCGGGCGGAATGGCAACAGCTGGCAGCGCAGAAATATTAAAAGTTTATACCTACGGCTTCCTGCTTCCTGCCAGCTACCACATGCCACATCCTCACTTGGTTACTGCGCGGAGGAGAACCCATCCTCAACCAAACCGAAAAATGTCACACAAATATGGACCAAAGCGATTTATGTGCACCAGCTCAGTTATGACAATGCCAGCCATGCAAATTCACGCTTGGCCAGCCGAATGTGCATTAGACAATAATTCTGAACTGGGTGTGCTACCCCCAATGCCATGTATATATAATGTCAGGATGTGGCAGAGCCAACGAGAAAGGACCAACTCGATTTGCCATCGCATAAACAAAAATGTTGCAGAAATTGCTGTAATGCGGAGGAGCATTAAATAAAAACCGAAAATAAAATTATGTTTATTTTCCCTCGCCTTTCTCTCTCCACTGTATGTATGTGTGTGTGGCTTCTGGAGGAGGTCTTCAAAAACTTGCCAACGACACAAGAAACTTTCCCTTGAAGCACTCTCCAAATTATGCTTTTCCTTCTTGTTTTCCTTATGGGGAAAACTTGCTTACACCGAATTCAAGAGACGTTAACAACGTTTTCCCAGAGCAGAGGGCCTGGAAAAGCGGGGGGAAAAGCTGGTGGTTCGTATTTATATACAAGCTATACAAGCTGCGATAAGCAAAAGGAGACCAGATTCAGATGGGACAAAGATATTTGACTACGAGGGAACAAACAATGTCGGGCGATTCAATTACATAGTTTCTGAATATGGGGACTTTGGCATCATTATTGTCCTTGCCCATTGTGACATAAGGGGACATTAAAGCATCTAAAATTGAAATTTTACTATGGGGTTGCATCAGTTATTAGAGAGAGTGCACTAAATTTATTTGGCAAATGCTTCAGAATTCATTATATTAACAAATACTCTATGATTTTCACATACATATTTTATTTTGTTTTTTTATTTATCGATATTTTAAGGGACCTAACGTAAGAGTATAGAAAACCGCGAATTCTTCAGAATAGGTTATCTAGCCTTATAAATAAATCTCAGCTTTTTAGTACCAACTAGAGTGCTACTTTTAAAAATATCATTGAATTTGATAGATTTAAGATAATAATCGATTGCCATCTAAGGGACTTCCTAAAAAAAAAACAAATTGGATGGAGTCGCAAAAAAGGCAATTTTTCAATAGTACGTATTACCGTTTGGCGTTTTTAATTATCCATTTGTCACGGCTTTTAGGGTTTGATGATTGAACACCAGGTCTGGGAAACTCCACCAAAAAGTACACATACACGAGGAAAAACACTTGACACACAGCCAAACAAACGCTATCGCTTCGTGCTTATCGCAAAACGCATCTCAGCAGGAGCAGAAAAGCGTAGGAAAAGCGCTGGCAAAAGGGGGAAAAGCTGTGGGAAAAGAAAGGAAAGCGGGGGAAAATTCGTGTGCGACAGTTTGCCATTGTATTGCGCCAAATTGTTAATGCTCAGCATTCTCGACTCGCCTTCTCCTTTTGGCTGCTGCCTCGTCTTATTGTTCTTGGCATTATCATCGTATCGTCGTCATCGCTGCTATTCTTCTATTCCCCTACTTTCCCCGCATTTTTATTATATTTTCTGCTCTGTTTTTTCCTTCTTTTTTTTCTTCTATTTTTACTTATTTTCCGTCTGCTGGGAGGAAATTTAATGCTCCTGGTGGCGTCTGGCGGTCGCGGCGCCAAAGTTTCTTTATGACCTCTGCCCCGTAGTCTCAAA